CCAGGCTTTAACACTGAACCACTTTTACTATTTTAATATTCATACACCAGTTTGTAAAGATTCCTTTGGAGCTGTTCAGTCCCTGTGGGTTAATTTTCTTAAATAATTTGTGTAATCAGATAGCTTTTTCACACCCAGAGTTCTCTTCCTGAAGAATTGCTCTGTAATGTATAACTCAGGTGAGCTGTTCTACTGGTAGGCATTAAGGTTTATGCAACTTATACTTGTCTATGTATTTAACATTAATAGTATTTTTCCCCCTCTGTGTTCAGTGTCCATCTTGTTAGCTTCCTCAAAATGCTGGTAACATTTCAACAAATCCTTGCTGTGGGATTTATTTAAATGCCTAACAGTTTATTAATTATGGTTTGAAAAATTGATATCAATGGATCCAGAACCTTGGACCCATTCCTACCTGTGTTAATTGATTTTAACAGAACTTTGAACTTTTCAGAATCCTTATGGATTCTGAACTTTTCAGAATCCTTATCCCACTTGAGGTGGGATCATTGCACCACAAAATGGATTGGAATTATGAATTTCTGTATCATTTATTCATTGGATAAAGTTTTTACTATAAAGAGAAAAAAAAAATCCTTGTAGCAGTTTTTTTACTGTTGATAGCTTGGTAAACCTTTTATTAGAGAGGAGCTGAATTTCTGAAAATGAACATTATGGGTGTGTGGGGATGGGAGGGGTAGGGACTGAAAAGTAGGATAGAAAATGTATTAAAGTAGATTAATTATTCTGAAAAAATTACTGAAAAGCCAAAGATTTCACCAATAGAACAAAAGAAACATGACACATTTAGAAAGTGAAGAATATGTTTTCTTTCTGTTTCTTAAAACTTTCTTGTAAGCACGCGTATCTATAAAGGTGATCTTTTCCCCAAAGCTTCATATTAAAACTTCTTGATTACAAGTATATATTAAATACATTAACAACATTTCATGCAAGGTTTTTCTGTACAGCTCAACCAGCTCAGTAGTATATTCAAATCTATACATTCCCAAAGACTTAGCAAAGTTCCCCACCTTGGAAATATTTTATTTTATACAATGCTGGTGATAAGGAAGAAAGGTGGCATGTGGTTTCTAAAGGATTATCATCTTAAATAATATCTGTGAATTAGCTGAAAATGTGGGCTCTCTTTCTTCTAAATGGATAGCAATTTCAGGATTTTGTCAAATTTTTAGCCAATTTTTTTTTAAAAAATTAACAACCTTGAGTTGTGGAAACGGGGATCATTCAATCTTGCAAAGATCACATGGACAGTGGCATTCAATAAGAATGGAAGAAAAATCTGTTCAGTTTACAACATAAATATATATTTTCCCCACCCGGACACAAACCATAATGTCAAAAATGTCAATATTTGCACATTCCCAAAGATTTTGATGCAGTCCAGCAATTTAAGAAAATATGTGCAAAAACATGCATATTGGGGAAAAAGTGTACAAAAATGTTCTTATGGCATTTTAATTAAAATTATTCATCAGGGTGAAATGGGATGAAATAAACATGATACTACAGCAAGAAAAAGAAACCAAACAAAATCAGAAGTGACAAGTTTATCCATCTCTACTCAGCGTATGTACAAAGACACATATTTCCCGGAATATAGCTGTATGGTAACATAAACAAATATATCACATTTTGTCCATATTGGATATGGGGTTAAGGATCATAGGGACTTTATCAGGGACTGTAGGTTTTCTTGTTTTTAGAGAAGATGCTGAAAACTTTAGATACAAGGAGAACTGCAGAAAAGATTCTCCAGTTTTGATTTTCAAAAGAAACGGGCCCTTTGGGAAAAAGAAGTCATCCCTGCTCCAGACAAGTTGGTTTAAAACTGCTGGAAGATAAACAAGGTTACCAAAAGAAAGATATCAGGATCAGAAACACAACATATTCAACAGGTGGCATCACCTTCTGAAGCAGTGCTTTTGTGTCTTGAACAGAACATGCCTGTGATTTTAACTTCCTATGCATGACAGATGTAGATCTCACCAAGTACAGCTTTTATTAACAAAGACGTAGAGGGATTAGGAAACTTCATCTACCAAAAAATTTTATTGAACATTTGACTAAATGCCTTCATACTTATGCACAATTCACAGTTCTTCTGCCCTTTGCTCCAGGGGCAACTGAAAGAGATGGGGAGAATAAAAAAGAGTCAAGATGGCGGTTACACATTCATGTTAAATCCTCTGGCCCTTTTTATATCTGTAGACACAACAGATATAAAACAAAAGTGGAGGAATCATAACCACCAACTTAATTTTTCTTTTTTAATCCCTCTGCACCCCATGGATACGCCTGCCCTGCTTAAAATAACTTCTTGGATCTTTACTGCTGTTATTAAGAAGACTGATAGGATAAACAATTTAAGACTTTTCTAGGAAAATCTCAATGGTTCAAGACACCACTTTTTTAAAAAACAAAACAAAACAGTGTCAGGAGATAGAAGCTTCATACACCATGTATAAACATTTTTCTTCTTCAAAAGGAATGATGCAAAATTAATTATGAAAGACCTCTATGATAGAACTCCAAATACTTCAAGGCAAACCTTTGCCCACATACAGGAAACGTGGAAGTGGCAGAGAAAGTTCCCTGAGTTGGCGCTGCAAATATCTAGATTCCTATGATGCCTTGCTGGCTTCACGGTTAACTGCCCCCTCCCCATTCAGTAACACAGAAAGCACATTTACAGTGGAATAAAACTTATGTAAACTCCATGTCATTCCCTCAGAGAAATAAGCAAGCAAGCAAACCAATCACACAAAGACAAATAATACAAGGAATAGAAGCTCTGCAGCATGCAGAAAATTTCTTCCTCTGCTGCTCTGTCATATTTCATTTTCCAGGTGTTTGTAGATCAAAAGTGAGAATAAAGAAAGATTGAAGTCGGCTTAAATGCACAGTGCAAACATACCTTTAAAGCTCAATATATTAAGTAGCCTCAGGAAGCATCTATTTCAATAAGCCAAAATATATGACAGCCAATAACCATAAGAACTTGGAAGCAGAAAAACAAATAAGGAAAGAAGATTGGGGCTTTTCTCCTCTTACATAAATATGTCCTGTCCCCTTGATGTTGCCAGAATCTTATTCCCAGCCCCCATGACATATTCTTAAGCCATGCTTAGATACAGTGGTGCTAAAGTTGCATTTTCTTCCCTACTTGGGGAAGCTTTATCAATCGTCATTTTCTAGGAAAGCAGATGATTGCCAGTGATGGAAAAAAGAGGCAAGACAGTCAGTCAGTATTTTGCCTGTTTTCTGCTGACTCAGATATGGGTGGGAAGCGTTTCAACAGCAGTGGGGGAAAAGCCTTTAAAGTTACTTGCTTTTAAAATTATGCTCATTTCAAAAACCAATTCTTGTGCGCAAAAAAAGAAGTGAAAACATACACTGGACATAGATTAAATATCTATGGAGATTCTTATTCATCCAGGTCATGACTGTCCCAAAAGTGCTTTTTCAAGAGGCGACTGGACTTTCTTTGTTTTTCCTTGAGGACGCTTGGCTTCTTATCCAAGAAGCTGAACTGAACTGAAGAAGCTTCTTGGATGAGAAGCGAAACATCTTCAAGGAACAACAAAGAAAGTCCAGTTGCCTCTTGAAAAGCACCTTTAGGACACGGGACGTGCATGAAGTTGGCATAGTCCCCCTCAATCATGGAAGCTTGACTTTGGGATAATCATTATCCCTCAGCCCAGCCCAGCTCCTCAAAGGACTGTTGTTGACAGAGTAAAATTGAGAAGCTCAGGTAAGCTGTCTTGTAATGGTGGAGAAAAGGTGAGAGAGAATTCTAATAATTCTCCTTCTCCTCCTCCACAATCATCATCTGCTCTTAGGTACTGTTCTTTTTAAAAAAGCTGTCAGCCACACTTCATGTTAATATTACTGTGGGACTTCCTTTTTTTTTTCCTGGGGGGAAAAACCCTTGGCCATGTTGCAAAAACAACTTTCAAGATGACCTTTCTGAAATCACATCTCATTTCCAAAGGCTGGGATTCATCACTTACGATTCTCCACATACCTAAATTTGCTGCTGCTGTGAGAATAACCACCTAAAGTGCAAAGCTTTCCATGGAAATCCATGGTCAGAAATCAAAGTCAGGCACCCATGCCATCAAATCTTCCCTGTTACATCTGTAAGAGTTATGGATTACACAGATCACAGTTCTGGGCACCTGGCCTGAAAAACAGCCAGGTTTGTTAAGTAATGAGAATGCATACTCTTGCCCCAAATGAAGACATTTGCACCCCTTAAATCTTCAAGGACCGCAAGCTAAATTGCATAAATGTCCCGTGTCTCTTAGGATATGGAGAGACAGAATTGCTCTGTCTTTTACCATATCATTCACGAATGTTATCTGGACCCTTTTCAGTGCAAGACTCTTGGTTTGCTTGACAGCTTTTCTTCTTCAGAGATCTATTAAGAATAAACTGTACAGAGGGAATGTTGATACTTAAATCATGTTGTCCCTTTGTTAGGAAGTAACTATTGTGATTATTCTGATCTTATGGCACCCCCAATTGAAAGCTACTCTGGATAGTTCACACAGAAACTAATACTAGCCAAGATGAATCATTAATTTACCCAAAGATAGCTTTTCAGTTCAGTGGCAAAATATTTCAGTTTTTTTGTAGACATGCACAGATTCCACCTCCAATATCTCCAGTTACAAAGATTTCAGGCAGCAAGTGAGAAAAACGATAACCCACAGATTTGTGCTACCAGTCAGATAGGCTAAAATATGTGTGTCCAACTTTTTGGCTTGCCTGAGCCTCACTGAATGAAGAGAAATGGTCTTGGGCAGCATACAAAACATGTAATATAGTTACTGTATATAAAATATTGCTAAAAATCACATAATAATATTAAAAGTTTATGATCTTATGGGGCTGTATTACTAGTTGTCCAGGGTTGCATGTGGCCCATGGGCTGCGGATTGACACACCTGCAATAAATGGATCAACGAATTGACTTCTAATGAGACATCTCCATATATTTATGGTCTACAGTCACGCAAACATAGATAGATCTGTCCCAGGGCAATATCTTATATACAAAGTGGGGTTTCTATGAACAAAGAATTGACAGAGAGAAATGGCCAGACTGGAATCTTTCTTTCAAAATACCAGCTTTCCACACTGAATCTTTACTGATGAATTCAGCTTTCTGGTCTAGAAGAAGCCGGAGATCCTCCTCCATACAATAAAGCTCTGAAAAAAAATGGTGGCGAAAAAGTTTCCCACAAGAACAAAACATAGCAGAAGTAGATGGTTATATTGAACTTTTCTGCCCTCTTTGTCATATGCCTGCAAGCACAAGCATTGTAGCCATCTTCGAATTCTAGAATGTAGGCCTCTACGCAAAGCCAAGCATGATTTCCGCAGCCAGTCTCCAGTAAGATATGATGAATATACAGTAGCCAATTGGGTGGTCAAACATATTTTTCAAAAAAATCCGATAGGCTACCTCAAACCATGTGGTATTTTCTATCTCCTATAAAACTTGACAGGACTATGTCAAAGAGGGTCTTGTTGGTGAAGGATAGATTCATCCCACCAGCGGTTACTTCTGACAGGAACCACAGAATGTCTCAGAAACAATTTGTTTCAAGAGAAAAATGCAGTTAAAAAAAAAGGAATTAAATCTTCAGAAGCAGAAGGTTCTAAAGGTTTGCCTCCATTAAAGAGCAAACTTTATCCTCCCTCCCCAGCCATAATTTAACTGTCCAGTATTTGCACAACTATATACAGGAAAAAAAATCCAGATACATAACAAAAGTAAAAATAAAAACAAAACAAAAATTATCAGTTTTTCATTTCTTTTGACAATTCACCCGCATTAAGTCAGAGACTTCAAAAACATGCATATTCCTTGATGTCTTTTGGAAATGCAAGCATGCAATTTCTTTAGTCCCAGGTAAGAGTTTATGATTCATTTTGCGGAGAAACTGAGTTTGTTTTGTGCTGGTCATTCCTTGATCTCTTTGCCTGGGGATAGGGACAGGAAACAACATTTTTTAAATTAATTAATGCTTGCACTGACTTTTCAATAACAATGTAGAAAACATTTTTATCATCTTAAATAGATTCAAACATTATGCCCTAAAGTTTTTTAATAATGTATGCTGTGAACCTAGTTACTTTTGTTTGCTCGGTGAATTATGGCTGAACAAATCATGGTTTAATGCAATAGATGAAGCAGTCACTATCTCAAGATAACTAACTTGATAAGGATGGGAAACATTAAGGGCCACAAACTCCTCTGCAGAACCTTCTGCTGCTGGAAAGTGCTCTAAATTCTTTCTTAATTTGGTTCTACAAATGGGACAAAAATAATGCATTACTAAAATGCAAAAACTAAGATTTTGATGTCTGGATTGTTCTCTGTCTGGGGATCTTCTGTAAATCTTGGAGATTTACAGAATTCTTCCACATGTACCACACACAAACACATCTTCTCTCATATACAGGTAGTCCTTAACTTCCAACAGTTCATTTAGTGACATTCAAAGTTATAATGGCAGTGAAAAAAGTGAATTTTGACCAGTTTTCACACTTGCGACCTTTGCAGCATCCCCATGGTCACGTGATCAAGATTCAGAAGCTTGGCAACTGGCTCATATTTATGATGCTTGCAGTGTCCCGGGGTCATGGGATCACCTTTTGCAACCTTCTGACAAGCAAAGTCAATGGGGAATCCAGATTCACTTAACAACCGTGTTGCTAACTTAACAATTGCAGGGATTCACATGACACATTCACACATGGCAAGAAAGGTCATAAAATGGGACAAAACTCACAATTTGGGCTCAGTTGTGGTCATAAGTTGAGAACTACCTGTACAGAAAATGTATGTGAGAATTCTACATAAACTTTTCCCATTCTCTAAGTTCTCCCCCTAAGGAGAGTCTTGCCATTTAAGTATCATTTAATTTTACCAGACCTTTTAAAATTCCAGCTGAATAACTTACAGATAGTCCTTGCTTAACAATGGCTAAGCGACAGATTCAAAAAGTGTGATGTCATGTGACTGTATCAACTTACAACAGCCGTTGTTGCAGTTCTGGTTGTGGTTGTTAAGCAAATCTTATGTGGTTGTTAAGCACAACATCCCATGACTGTGACTTGTAACCTCCTGCAAGCTTCCCCACTGACTTTGCTTGTTGGAAGTCAGCTGTGAAGTTGGCAAATGGCGATTATATGACTGAGGGATGCTGCGACTGTTGTAATTATGAGCCAATTGCCTGAATTGTGATCACATGACAACAGGGAAACGGCAGTGGCTGCAACTTTAAGGACCAGTTCTAAGTCACTTTGTTCAGTGCCATTATAACTTTGAACAGTTGTTGAATTAGCGGTTGTTTAATGAGGATTATCATTCTTTAGTTGTTCTGTTGTAAGAATTACTGCTGGCTGGTATTAATCATTTTTCCCCATCCCATGTCTTTAGTTATTTCGGCTGGGGGGGCTTCTCTGCTGCAGCTCCTGCCATCTGGAACATCTTATCCCCTGAGATGAGATCGGCCCCACCCTCCTGACGTTTCATAAGGGCCTTATGACCTGGCCTTGCCAGATGACTTGGGGACCCAATGGGGGAACTTCATACGGGAGGTGGTTGATTAACTAAAACTTAATCCCATCTCCCCACCCTGTGTGTCTGGCTCCTTCCTTTCTCACCTGGTGTTAATGGTTTGTATTTGTTAATGATTTTATCTGCTGTGCTTCTATGACTGATGATTTTAATATTTTTAATGCTTTTAAGCCACCCAGAGTTGGATACGAGTTGAGCGGCAAATACATTTAATAAATAAACAAACAAATAAATGAATTTCATTGCTTGTTCACAATAGCTCTGGAAAATGATGCTGGCAGAAGAAGACCATAATTTAAAGTATTATCTTAATTATATCAGGAAGGTTTGGTCTTCGGTATTTATTTTACACGGTGTCTTCTACTTTTGCAATTCAAGCTGTGTCCTACATCAACGCAATTAACAAGCCACAAAGCTGATGGGCAATCCAGCTGCAAGGGCACTCACCATCTAAATGATTACGGGAGAGATACTTCAAGCCTTCATCCAGCAGGATAACTGGCAAAGAGATTTGCAGCACAGTCTCCCATTGATGCCAGCTAAGTGGGGTCACCTGAAAGATCAGCTGCAAGATAAGAAAATGATGTGGATTACATCCTTTACCTTACATCAAGAGCCGTGATGGCGCAGCGGTTAGAATGCAGTATTGCAGGCTAATTCTGCCGACTGCCAGCAGTTCGATTCTTACCGGTGGAAGGTTGACTCAGCTTTCCATCCTTCCAAGGTTGGTAAAAAGAGAACCCAGATTGTTGGGGACAAAATGCTGACTCTGTAAACCACTTAGAGAGGGCTGTAAAGCACTATGAAGCAGCATATTGCTATTACTACCTTCAAAGCTCAGTCTGGGAATGTTGTTGCTTCTATAGTGTTCCAAAGAAAATAACCTGAAGACACCCAGATTTGCTGAAGTACCAAGAAATTTCAGGATAGGCAAAATTTTGAAATCAGGAGCCACATCTAACATTTGGGGGGAAGAGGTGTGGGCCACCCAAAACTGGGTGCAGCCAGGGTTCATTTGAATTTTTACGTTATTTTGTTGTTTCAGACCAATGTTTCTCAACCTTAGCAATTTTAAGACTGGTGGACTTCACTTCCCAGAATTCCCCAGGCAGCCATTCTGGCGGGGAAATCTGGGACTTGAAGTTTATATTCTTAAATTTGCCAAGGTTGAGAAAGACTGCTTTAGGTTCTCATTTCGTGTGTTTGCTACTTCAAAAAGGGAGGGAGCCTTGCTGCCGAGTTTTGGCAATGCTAATACCTGAATTCCCCTAACTGTGATCAGAGATCCTGATTCTGGGATCCTGAAACCAACATTGCCCACTGTTGCCACCAGGAATCCAAAGAAAGCAGTGGAGGCAGGATGTGGCTCAGTAAGATCCTTCTAAATCCAATTTGGGCACAAGGGACATTACTTACAGGCAATGGCTTCACGTACAGAATCAGGAAATGCAGAGCCATAGACATGATAATGGCTCCCAGGAGCCAGATGTTCAGCCAGGGAGGCATCCTGAGCAGCGACTGGTTTTCAGAGACACTGTAGAGAAGACAGAAACTAATCAGGCATCCCCAATTCCTTAGCTTTCTGAAGGCATCTACATACACAATACGTTCTCTCTATGTCATTTGAGGCAAGGGGGACACTTCTAAGCAATTGCAATTACTGGTAGCCCTTGACTTACAACCATTTGTTTATTGATTATTCAAAGTTATGCTGAAAAAACTGACTTTTGATCAGTCCTCACACTTATGACTATTGCAGCATCCCCATGATCATATGTGGATCAAAATTCAGGTGCTTGGCAAACAATGGTTGCAGTATCCCAGATCAAGTGATTCTTCTTCTTGTGCCATATCCGTTATCGGACGTTGGCGATCATGTTGGCGATCCTGTTTTTATCAGAAGCCGCACGAAAAAGTGCTGCTGAGTTTTGTCCAAACCAGTCCCTTAGATTTTGAAGCCACGATGTTCTTCTTCTGCCTGGACCTCGTTTGCCTTCAGTCTTTCCCTGGAGGATTAAATGGAGTATGCCGTATTTTTCTGGGTGTCGCATCACATGTCCGAAATATTCTAATTTTCGTTTTTTAATTGTTTTGATGATTTCCCTTGGCTTTCCCAGGCGGCTTATCACCTCCTCATTTCTGATCTTGTCAACTCCGCTTATCCGTAACAGCCGCCTGTAAATCCACATTTCAAATGCTTCTAGTCTCTTCAGGTGGCCTTCTGTCAGAGACCAACTCTCTACTCCATAGAGCAGGATAGAAAAAATATAACATCTGACAAGCCTGATTTTCAGTCTTAGGCTTATGCCATTTGCAATTTTCCCAGCCAGCTTGCCACAAAGGAAGCCAATGGAGCAAGCTGGATTTACTTCTTGACCACATGATTCATTTAACAACTGTAGTGATAAACTTAATAATCGTAGCAAAACAGGTCATAAAATCAAGCATGACTCACTTAAAAGCCACTTTGCTTAGGAAAAGAAATTCTGGTTCTAATTGTGGTCATAAGTCAAGGATTGTCTGTATGCTATCCAAAGTTGATGGCCCAACACCTACAACCATACAAAGCACACAGAGGCTACATAATTATTTTAAAAAGGTCACCACGTCAGTAGTCATCCAACCTATGTTGCAGACAAATTCCATTGATCTTACAAGACACATTCAGTACCCTGGCAAGTTAATTGGGCAGAAAACCCCACCAGCATTTCATCCCATTCCTGGGAATAAAATACCCAAGAGATAAACCAAGAAACAAGCACAAATGAAATAAAGGTTTGCTGTCTTTGCACTCCACTGCTCTCCATAACCTGCTGCTGACATGACTTTCTCCAGTGACTGGACAGGCAGTGATTTTTAGAATTTATGCCACGGAAGAAAATTATCTATGGATAGTTTGTTTTGATTAAGTACTGAGATGCACTCACAAAACACGTGTCAGCTTCAGGATGTCTATCGAGATTCTCAGTCATCCAAGTCATGGTTGTCCCAAAGGTGTTTTTTCAGGAGGCATCTGGACTTTCTTGTTTTTCTTTGAAGATGTTTCGCTTCTCATCCAAGAAGCTTCTTGGATGAGAAGCGAAACATCTTCAAAGAAAAACAAGAAAGTCCAGATGCTCCTAGAAAAGCACCATTTTTTCTTGGAAGAGCTGCACTCTAAATCCTGCACTCCATATTATCGATCCCTTTTTAAAAAATGAAAGTAGGCTCAGTGTGTTGCTTTTCTCCTTCAAGAAACACCCAGCTGGTGACACTGTACCTGTTTAGTGCGTTGCACATCTCAATTGTCACCAGGACTGAGAGTGCCATGGTGGTTGGATAACGGGATTCGAAGATTTCACAATCAATGCCTTCAAAGATGGGGTTGTCTTCTGTGCATCTCATGAAGTTCCTCTGTAGGCAAAAAAACAACAACCCCCATAAGGCTCAGTGTGAAGACTGCTGTGAGTCGTGGCTCAGAGATTAAAAACTTCTAAAGCTTGCAGTGGTACGAAGACTTTTAATGCTGGGGATAGTCATTACAGGAGGAATTTTATTATCATTTTAATGAAAACTTGGGGTATTTTATATTGTGATCTTGATCTTTTTATCACTAGCCAGTTGAAGTCCATAGAGCGTAATAAATAAAAACATAAACCTCAGCACGCAGCAAATATTACAAGCAATAGGAAAATACTATAATCTTTTCAAAAGCTAAGAAGCTGTGCCGTGTATACTGCACTCAGGTCCTATAGGAAGGAAAATCAAGTTATAAATCTTAAAGATTTTACAAAGCCAAATAACTCTGAAAACATATGGAACAGAAAAACAAAATTTAATAGCCTCTCTAAATCTGAATAAAGTAACATTATGTAATTCTCTTGGAAGGTTTCCACAATTTATCATCAAGAACCCCTGTTCTGTGTTAACACAAAACCTCAGGAAAAAAAAGTCAGTATTTGATTTTTAGATGCTACATGTCTTTCTGCAGGATGCTTTCTTACTCTATGTGAGATTTGTCATATTGGCTAAACACACTGGCTAAGCATCATATTCTAGCCATTAGAAAAAGTAAGAATTAATGGTTTTCCTTTTTTAATGCAACTAGTAAATTTTGTCTCCGTGATATCCATAAAGATTCCCTACATTATGGAAACTCCTGCTGTTTCCATAATCCAGTGGCCATCAATAGATATAAAGAATGAATCCCTTGAAATAAAAAGGAATTCCCATGGAAAAGCTTAATAAAATAAACTAAAAAAAATATTCAAAGTATAATGCTGTAATATCAGAGGTTTAGCAACATATTAATGACAGAACCTTCTGAAATGCTGGACTCTTTCTTCCAATAGCTGCAAGTAGGCATTCAAAAAATACTTGCAACAACAATGAAGTCATCCACTGCTACTTTCTGACATGCATCCAAATAATACCTGTATTTCTGTTCCACCAGAAATATAATTAGTAACAATAATCACTGCTGAGACATCCAGAAGAAATAATGCTTTGCATCTCTTAGTGGAGATCATCAATTGGAGCCAACAATATCCAGTCTGAACTTTAGTTACAGTGGATCAATGTAATCAGGCTCAGAAGATTAGATCAGGTTTTTCAGTAAATTAACAATAGTATCTTCACCTTCAATATCTTCAAGATAAAAAGATAGTATAGCCCTTTGGAGGATGCGTGGCCCATCCTTAAGGAGCCATATCTGTTCCTAGCCTCAGCCAGATGCTGTCCGCAATTACTCTGAAGCAACGTTTTTGGCTCTAGATGTAACATGCACCGCCTTTCTGCAGGATATAAAGATGCAAACTGCGTTTTTTCCAATTTAGATCTCTAACTTACCAGTTGGTGAAAGGTAACTTGAGGTCCTTCCGCATCGTACAAGAACCACCAAGTAGCTGCACCTACAGTTGCAAACCCAACATAAACTGCAAAGGAAAAGGAAAATTAAATAAAGGAATGGGACTAAGTTAAAGAGCTTTTTGGTCTTCGTTATATGATGCTTATGGTGAGGAACCAACCCAACCCATTCTAACTACATTCCAACTACCATCACTACCTGATATATTTCAAATAAAAGTCCAAGGTTATTGGACACTGTTAATTCAATCTATACCTTGCTTCAGCAAAGAATCTAAGCAGCTTAAACATTACCTGTTTCATTTCTTAATCTATATACTATTATAGGGTGAAATGATGCATCGTAGGGCAACAATTTTTGAACTAAGGTACCTCAAATAGGCTAACTTAAAGAATGTGTCCAAATCTGGGACCCATAACTCCCGAGTGAATGAAATTTGGAAACATGTGGCTGTGTCAATGGTACTGGTAGTTGCCAGGCTGTTGCTGCCATTTTGTAATGTTTATTTTCAATGTTCTGTGACAGTTTCTCAGTCAATCACGCAACCCCCTCATTCCCTCCCCCACCCAGCAGCAGCCACTCACCTGCCTTCTGGGAAGGGAAGGAAAAGGAAGGGGGAAGATTTCTGAGGCTCCCTGACAGATTCCCATGAGGAAACTCAATGAGGAAGCTGTCAGAAAGTTGGAAGTTGTTCCTGCTCCCACTGCTTTTTTGCCCCCTCTTGGTCATTTCCTTTCTCTGTTTAGGTAAGGAAACATCTCTGAAACAATGACCAAATGGGACACAGGTTGCCTAGTATCTCAAAAAAGTGTTGAAAGGTTACTGCACCCTGGACAACACTACACTGGGACTAAACGGTTAATTCATGCATATTCACGAGGGGGCAAGTAAAAGAGTGTGTGGATGAGTCTGTAACTTGCCCGCTGTTGTTTGTACATATCAAATTGCCTTCCCTAATATAGGCTACCCCCATAATCCACAATTCCCAGCCACAGCCATGCTGAGTGGAGCATTCTAGGATTTGAAATCCACTCATCTGGAAGGCATCCAAAATAGGCATAAAAATGTTCTCACCTCCAATTGCAAGGTAGCGGAAGAACAACCATCCACTAATGAGAGGTTCTCTAGGGTTCCGGGGCAATTTATCCATGATGTCAAGGTCAGGAGGATTAAAGCCAAGGGCCGTAGCCGGCAGTCCATCAGTCACCAAGTTCACCCAAAGCAACTGGACCGGGATCAAAGCTTCAGGAAGGCCCAGGATGGCCGTCAGGAAGATGCTGAAAATGGAATACAATATGTTTTTGTGGCCTTCAGCAACAAAAATGATAAGGAGTCTGGAGGCTGAACTGTACAATGAATGGTTGCAGGAAACTAGGTATGCACAGTTTAACAAAGTTAAGGATTGGGGTGATATGATAAGAGTGTTCCAGTATTTGAGGGGCTGCCATAAAGAAGAGGGGGGTCAACTTATGCTCAAAGTACCTGAAGGAAGGACAAAAAGCAATGGATGGAAACTAATCAAGGAGAGAAGCAACCTAGAACCAAGGGGAATTTTCCTGACAGTTAGAACAATTAATCAGTGGAAGAACCTGCCTCTAAAAGTTGTGAATGCTCCGACACTGGAAGTTTTAAAGAAGAGATTGAACAACCCTTTGTCTGAAATGATAAAGGATCTCCTGCTTGAGCAGGGCATTGGTCTAGAAGACCTCTAAGGTGCCTTCCAACCCTGTTATCCTATATTATTCTGTTATTTTATTAGGACAGGACTAACTATTTCAGACTAAACCAGAATGTTTAAATCCTTGCCAATTTTTTATAACGTGAAACAGAGCTAGACAGCACGCAACAGAAGCACTCAAAGAGTTGACAATGGTATACCCTAAAAGCTGCTTTCTGTAACTGACATCTCCCTTGCACCTTGGCACAATGTTTGCATAATATACAATTGGAACACACTGTACTTTCAAGCCAGCAGATTCAAATTATACAATGAAACCCAACAATAGAAGCATCAGATCAAAAACATCCAGCCAACATTAACTAGTCCAGATGTAATTTGAGGTTATTCGTTCACTTTCTTTGTACAGTATTTTCAGCTGGAACTGCAAAGGCTCATTTTTACGTGCTAGGTTCCAGGTGCCACTCTCTACCTTCTACTTAGGTTTTGGACAAGTTGTGGAGCTCTCAGCCTCACCTCTGAAATGGGGACTTTGTGATCAGTCATAGTGACCACAACAGCGACTTTGTAAATGGGCATGTAGACTTTGAAAGTCATTTTATATTTAAACTTCTATGCCGCCCTTCTCCCCAGAGGGACTCAGGGCGGCTCACAGCATGTTAAAAAACAACACAAAAAAACATTTCCCCTATAAAACCAATTAAAAAGCAAATATATTAATAGCTGTGTCATATTTAAAATCTTTGAAAATTTTTAAAAATTATTCCCTATTTAAAATTCACCCTAGGTCAGTCNATTTGAGGGGCTGCCATAAAGAAGAGGGGGGTCAACTTATGCTCAAAGTACCTGAAGGAAGGACAAAAAGCAATGGATGGAAACTAATCAAGGAGAGAAGCAACCTAGAACCAAGGGGAATTTTCCTGACAGTTAGAACAATTAATCAGTGGAAGAACCTGCCTCTAAAAGTTGTGAATGCTCCGACACTGGAAGTTTTTAAGAAGAGATTGAACAACCCTTTGTCTGAAATGATAAAGGATCTCCTGCTTGAGCAGAGCATTGGTCTAGAAGACCTCTAAGGTGCCTTCCAACCCTGTTATCCTATATTATTCTGTTATTTTATTAGGACAGGACTAACTATTTCAGACTAAACCAGAATGTTTAAATCCTTGCCAATTTTTTATAACGTGAAACAGAGCTAGACAGCACGCAACAGAAGCACTCAAAGAGTTGACAATGGTATACCCTAAAAGCTGCTTTCTGTAACTGACATCTCCCTTGCACCTTGGCACAATGTTTGCATAATATACAATTGGAACACACTGTACTTTCAAGCCAGCAGATTCAAATTATACAATGAAACCCAACAATAGAAGCATCAGATCAAAAACATCCAGCCAACATTAACTAGTCCAGATGTAATTTGAGTTTATTCGTTCACTTTCTTTGTACAGTATTTTCAGCTGGAACTGCAAAGGCTCATTTTTACGTGCTAGGTTCCAGGTGCCACTCTCTACCTTCTACTTAGGTTTTGGACAAGTTGTGGAGCTCTCAGCCTCACCTCTGAAATGGGGACTTTGTGATCAGTCATAGTGACCACAACAGCGACTTTGTAAATGGGCATGTAGACTTTGAAAGTCATTTTGCGAGAGTATCTAGAGAAATTCTTCATGATTATAAAGTGCACACTTGCCTCCCATACCTGGGGACTGTTTTCCTCACTGAACTTTGCACCAGCTCAAATGGAACACTTTTGGTTTCAATACTGAATGAAAGCAGAGGTTCTCAGATCAGAACTGAATGTCTCCTAAGAACAATATTTGACATAGTTTGTTATTATTTCTGATAAATTTTCCAGCAGATGTGCTAGAGAATTACCTCTTAACTCACTTGACTATATGGGGTGGGGGTGGGGGAAATATAGTCTCCTAGTGTTCCAGGGCCCCACACCTACCATCTCCAACCAAAATGTCCATTTCCAGTGGAATATATGTGGCACAAAGTTGAATGGTGGAGTCCTTGATGAACTCACCAAGCTCAGAGAGCACCAAGGACTCCACAGAAGACCCAATATTTATTGTTGATGAAATCTGCAATCCCATAACTACTTTCTCTACCCTTCATTATTTTCTGTTCTGACCAGGGCTGCCTTAAGCTCTTACCAAACGACTTCTCCAACATTAGAAGAAATGAGGTAGCGGATGAACTGCTTCATATTGTTGTAAATAGCTCTGCCTTCCTCCACAGCAGCCACAATGGTAGAAAAATTATCATCTGACAAAACCATCTCTGCAGCCGATTTGGCCACTGCTGTTCCAGAGCCCATTGCAATACCAATTTCAGCTTTCTTCAGAGCAGGGGCATCGTTCACTCCGTCACCAGTCTAGAGAAAATAAAGTTAATTTTGCCCAAAGATTTGCCTAATCCAGTGTCTGGTTTGGGAACCGTTTCCAACACTGGCCAGCCTGATGCCTCCAGAAAAACAGAAGATAAATTAACTCAAAAGCTAAAGCTTCAGTTTAGACTTTATAGCAATATATTTTTTATTTTTATTTCAGTTTAGACTTTATATTTATAGCAATGATGGACAATTCTCTACTAGTCTATCTATATATTTTTGACGTGTTATTAAACTAGGTACATTTATATTAGTTTTTCCTTACCTAGTTCCCTCCAGATGTGATGGATTAGGAATGTCCCAAATTCCCAGCCAACATGCCTAAGAATTCTAGGAATTGAAGTCCAACATAGGTGTGAAGACTAGACCAGTGTTTCTCAACCTTGGCAGGTTGATGTTGGGTAGACTTCAACTCCCAGAATTCCCTAGCCAATATGCTAAAGTTGAAGTCTTCAAGTTGCCAAGGTTCAGCTAGACAACAGATGGATTCTCATCCAAGGAAGGAGAAAGAAACCTGAAGAACACATGCAACCCTATTTATTTAATTATTTGAGTCTATCTTGCTTTTCATCTACATCACCCTGCTATCTTCCAATACCCTTAAGTAAATCTGGAGGATCAAAAGACGAAGAGGGATGGTCTGAACTCACCATCGCTGTGATTTCATTGAATGATTGTAAGTATTCAACTATCTTGGACTTATGGGCAGGCTCTACCCGGGCAAAGCATCGAGCTGAACGGCAGGCATTGCTTTGGGCCTCTGGTGAGAGATCGTCAAATTCTCTGCCCGTGTAGGCTTTGTCGGTCACCTCCTCATTCTCTGAGAAGATCCCAATCCTCCGGCAGATAGCCACCGCTGTTCCTTTGTTGTCTCCGGTGATCATGATGACACGGATGCCCGCTTTCTTGCACATTTCAATAGAGGACACCACTTCCTTCCGAGGAGGGTCCAGCATTCCCACGCAGCCAACAAAGGTCAACTTAGTCTGCAGGTAAAAGGGAGTGGGGAGAATACATCTTTCCAATGTTTGATTTGCCATTTTCTAAACTTTGGATCTAGGGAAAATGTTGTGCCCTAAAAGGCTGGAGGTTGTTAAGTGAATCACTACAGTTGTTAACTTAGCAGCACAGTTATTAAGTGAATCTGGCTTCCCCACTGACTTTGCTTGTCAGAAGGTTACAAAAGGTGATTACATGATTTCAGGACCCTGCAACCGTCCTAAATACCTGCCAGTTGCCAAGCGTCTAAATTTTGATCATGTGACCATGGGGATGCTGCAAGGGTCATAAGTGTGAAAAATGGTCATAAGTCACTTTTTCCAGTGCCGTTGTAACTTTAAACAGTCACTAAATGAAGGTGTAAGTTGTAAGTTGAGGACTACCTGTATATGGCCTATAAAGATACTCTCACCCTCTAGCCAGCCTCACTTACTTCATAGTTAACAAACTGGCTGGCGTCATCCAGATGCATGTCCTCTTTCCGAGGTGGATGGTCTCTCGTGGCCAAGGCGAGGCAGCGTAGAGTGTCGATGCCGGTACCCCATTCCCGAATCTTGGAGAGGATCTTCTCTTTGATGGAAGAAGTCAAAGGGACTTGGTTTGCGCCAACACGAACATAACTGCAGCGCTCAATGACACTTTCCGGAGCGCCCTTGAGAAAGAAAAGAAATGAAATGTCTGAACTGACCCCAATGATCAAGCAGGTAAACTATGAGAGACTTATGCAAAATGTGTCTGTGGTTTTAAACTCTGTAAATCTTGGATGGGGTGAAGCTTTGCCATCTCTCCAAAAGTTTTAGTCTAATGTCATTTATTCATCTAATAAAAGAGGAAATTGGTAAATACTGTACCTGAGTAGTAAAGGAATTAATGGCATTCAACATGTTTGGAAGCTAAAAATCTATCTTAAATTTATGTCGGTGATCTGATTAGCTTACATTTGAGAATGTGAAGTTGTGCACGCTACTCAAAGGCTAAAGGCAATTGCTAGCTGTGTGAAAAATAAAAGTTTTTTCCTGCAAAGGATAGTTAATTTATTAGGCCAGAATGGCCTATTTTCTCTCTCCAAATAAGTTCTACCTTGAAAACTAAGCAAAGAGCACCCCCTAGTGGAAACACAGGACTTTAAAGGAATCTCTTGGAGATTAAGTCAACATTTATTTTGAAACAAAAACACCCATTCTTTTTCAAGATGTATCAAAGATATCAGGGAAAGGGAAGAAAGAGTGGGGGGGAAAATTATTTCCCTGCTTAAAGCAAAACCATTTCGCTTCTAAAGAGACAGAGTTTGATCCTTTACAGCAGGGATGGGCAACTATGGCTCCTTTACGATCTGTAAACTTCAACTCCCAGAATTCCTAAGCTAGTATGACTGCCTAGCTGAGGAATTCTGGGAGTTGAAGTCCACAGGTCATAAAGGGACAATAGTTGCCCACCCCATGTACTCTAGTCTAGAGAGCATTGTTTTTCAAACTTGGCAGCTTTAAGATGCCTGGACTTCAATTCCCGGAATTCCCATTCTGGCTGGAGAATTCTGAGATTTGGCCCACACATCTTAAAGTTGCCAAGTTGAAAAACAGTGCTCTAGTCCCTAAAGGAGTTCCTCCTCTTGACACATCACAGCAAACTCATCAACACATTAGACGACAGTATTCATAATTTGAGGGAATCTAAATTCCAAAAATATAAAATATTTTAGAAATAAAGGAAACTATCTTAAGGGTGGATGCAGGGAAACAAAGAGACAAATGAGAACGAGTAATGAGAATTGAACAATGACTCTTGGCTGGGATCCTGGGCAGGGATATTGCTGTGTAACATTTTGCTAAGATTCATATCTCCAAAAAGTCCATAGCTGCAGCAACCTTTGATAAGCCAGCGTGTGTCCCGTAGAAAAGTGAAGCCACACCACCATTTCACCTGTCAAGTTCAACGCCTAGAGCCGTGGTGGCGAACCAGAGGCGGCACTCAGAGTCCTCTCTGTGGGCATGCGCACCGTCGCCCCAGTCCTAGGCCTTCAGCTGGGTTTTATAAAACCTTTTTGCTTTAGGCCTCCGCCACCGTGTACAAAAAAAAAAGGTTCAATTTCAACTTCTCACAGGGAAAAAAAAAGATCTTGCAAAGTTGGAATTGATTGATTGGACTTTTTAGTCCCACCCAGTCTGCTGTTACCACCGCAGCCACGCCCACCCAATGGGCCATACCCACCCGGCACTCGACGATGCATAAGTGGGTTTTGGGTTGCAGTTTGGGCACTCGGTCTCTAAAAGGTTCATCATCACTGGCCTAGAGAAAGCCATAGCAGCGGCGCCTCTAGCTGTGCCTTCACCACAGCTGGACCTGGTGCCAGTAGTTACCTTGACAAAGAGCTTGCTGCTCGAGGAATTGTGACTGGAGGCCACAGGTGTGCAATACACAGACATGGACTTGCGGTCGCGGGAAAATTCAAGGGTGCATTCCTTCTTCATCAGCTTTTTGATCACCTGTAGGGGTGGGGGTGGAGTGAAAATGACAATAGGTAACCAGCAGAGTCCCAGCCATAGGAATTGTCCTTGAATATATATTAATATTTTTGTTAAGCAATGTTTAAATTTACAGATATAAATAAGTATTCTAGATACATAGATCACAAATGCAGAGTAGCATCTGGAATGCAAAATATACCGTCTATGATGCCATGCATGTTCTTTTCAGAGTATTATACTTGCTTCAGAAGGGGAAAAAAACATACGAAAGGGCCACTTTGTTTTCTCTGTGTGGACAAAAGGATGCCCTACAGAAAATACTGGTTGTTGCCAATAACAGTGTTGTATTTGTCTGCTCCCTTTGAGTCTGCACAGGAGGGATTTTTTTTTTAAAGCTACATTAAGCCTTTCAAAATGTAATCCTCTTCTGCTTTTTATTTCATGAAAATATCATGATCTAAATATTGATACTTGGTCACCAACGTTTAGTGACATGTTCTGGAAAGCCTCCAGAACTGCATTTGGTCCATTAGTTGCCAATTCTAGCTCCAGACCTTTCTTGCCAGGCCAAAGTATTATGGCATTGAAATAGAGACTTGGTTACATAGCCTAGAAATATTTTGCACCCAGCAACTAAAAGGGCTATCTATTTATTATCTAACAGATAAAAAATAATTTGCAAGTTAAAAACACTTCTGGATTTATTTACAAGGCTATTGTATGCATAACAACATGAATAGGTTACCAGCGAGTGTCAAGAAATCACCAAATTTAATATTTAATTATTGGATTTATGTCCAGCTTTTCCATTATGCAAATCCTCAAGGCAGCTTCCAACAATTAACACAGGAACTGGCCATGCTTTAGTGCTCTGGAATTGTCCCATTTCTCCCCTGCAGAGAATTGCAGCAATGGTTTATGGCTAGGAAGGGGCTTTTATTGGGCCAACCACGCTAAACATGGTCTGCGAGTCCCCATTTAAAGATCGCAAATACTTCTTGTCTCTATCCTGGAGAAATTAACCCCTTACTCACGGTATTGCAGGCACTGGCTCTTTCTACATTGGAGAAACTGCTGGTATCTGTGTTGAAAACATTCATCTTCTCTACAAGACAGGTCAAGGCTGTTTCTGTCGCTTCTCCCACCTTTTCATAAACTTTCTTGGACTAGAAACCGAAAGGGAAGGTGTAGTTAAAACAAAACCAAGATCCCCCTCACTGCAGTCTAGTTCGTTTATGTTAGTTTGGTGAGGAAGGATGTTCAAATCCCAACATTAAAAGCAAAAACAAAAACAGTAAAATAAAGAGTCTGATGTAGCATGTCTACTTAACACGTAGGTAGAAAAAATTAATTTCTAATTAATATATCTAAAAGGACATATTATTTCTACACATGAAATGGTAAATGGTAAGTCTTAGGATAATGATGTTGCAAATAATCCAGGCCTATCTGTCTTTACAGGTTGTCCCCAATTTAGGATCACAAGTGAGCCCAAAATTTCCATTACTAAGTAAAACAGTTGTTAAGTAAATTTTGCCCCATTTTACGACCTTTCTTGTCACAGTTGTTAAGTGAATCACCACAGCTGTTAAGTTAGTAACACGGTTGTTAAGTGAATCTGGCTTTTTAAACTTTTAAACTTTAAATTTTAAATTAACTTTTTAAAAAGTTTTATAATAAAACAGGGTATATTTCTTTTTTCTTTTACCTATTTTTTTCCTTCCCCCTTTTTTCTGCACTTTTTCTTTTTTTCTTAATTTGTAGGATTTTTATCTATTTTTAAACTTCAAGAAAATTATTAAAAAAGGATATACTTTTTTGCATGCTATTTTTCCCCCTGACAATTAAGGTATTAATACTTGTAATATACTTGTTCTTGCACATCAAAAGAAATGACAAATTCATTGTAAAAGTGAAGCCTTCTGAATTACAATTCCCTTCAGCTCCAGGCAGACTTCACAGTTCAAACCGGAGAAAACTCTTCTAGGAACTGTAGGCTGAGCTACTGTATGATTTTCTTCCTGATTTGATATATAATATATGAGCACCGGTGGCGCAGTAGTTAGAATGCAGTATTGCAGTCTAACTCTGCCTATAGTCTGGAGTTTGATCTTGAATGGGCTCAAGGTTGACTCAGCCTTCCATCCTTCCAAGATTGGTAAAATGAGGACCCAGATTGTTGGGGGACATATGCTGACATTTGTACAGAAAGGGTTGTACAGCATTATGAAGCAGCATATAAGTCTAAGATTGCTAATACTATAGCTAATACCAGGGCTTTTTTTCTCATAGAACACCCAGAATGGAGTTCCGGCACCTTTTTTGGATGGAACCTTGTAGGGTAGGCAAGGCGGATTGTATGACATGTGTGAGTTCCGGCATCTTTTTTTTTTTTTTTTATAGAAAAAAAGCACTGGCTAATACTAATAACAAAAACTCACCTCATTATAATCCAGCGAGGAATCATTGCAAAGAGCACAAATAGTTGCAAGTTCCACTAGGCCATCAAATTCCCCACACTTAACAGGGTGATCATTCTTTAAGCTGCCATTTTAAAGGGAGAAGAGGGGAAATAAAGTAAAATTTTATCTGACTGGCAATGAAGAAACCTATATACTTTGCAATCAAAATGCAGTAATCAATATAACAGAACAGTACATTGATTTTTTTATTATTATTTATTAATAGTAATATATCTTACCATAGCTTTCCTAGAGGAAAATTGTCAAAGAGACTTAGGACAAATTCCATATCTGGCAGGTAACCTGTTCCTGCAGTCATTCAGTAACATATTTCTACAAAATATAATTTTAAACTTTTGTCTGTCTCAGCCAACTTCAGGCCCTTAGCCCTGACTGTGAAACTGAATTCAAGAGGGGGAAAAAAGCTTTAACACAATGGTGGGGCTTATGAAGATGTTGGAACCAGCAGAAGCAATGGAGATCCAGGACAATTATTTCAACAGTGCTATGAAATCTTCTTCCCAGTGCCATTGGCTGGGTGCTGCTTCTCCAGGCTCAACATGGATGCTTATAGGTGGCCTAGTGATTAAGATGCTGGACTTGTTGAACAGAAGGTTGACAGTTCAAGACTCAAACACCGCGTGACGGGGCAAGCTTAGATAAATAGGTACCACTTCGGTGGGAAGCTAACAGCATTCCATGCATCTTGGCATACAGTCATGCTGACTCCATGACCATGGAAGCTTCTTTGGACAAAGCTGGCTCCTTTGGCTAAGAAACGGAGATGTCCACCCTCTCCCCATGAATCAGACACGACCGAACAGGGAAAACCTTTACCTTTTTTTAACCTATAGGTAAGACAGATAATGCATGCTACCTTCTGTTTCAAAAGAAATATCTCAAAATAACTGAACCACCTAGAGTTATTTATTTATTGATTGAATTTTTATTAATTGAAAAAAAATAGAAAAAAAATCTTCTGAAATTACTTTATTTCCAAATACACCTACGTTTCTGTTTATTTCTGCTTTTTTGTTAACAAGATAGAACCATTCCAGTTTGCAGGTCTCTCTTCTGAACTCTAAAATGCCACCAACTGGCTAACGCTACAACATTTGATTCTCTAGGACACTGTGAAACCGTAAGTGAGGGGGAGGGAAGACGAAGGGATCCAAAAGGAATGTGAGGTAGCAAGAGTGAGAAGAATATTTTTGATGATTTGGAGAGCTGTTGCCAAGTCAGAGCAGACAGAACTGACCTAGATGGATCCCAAATCAAGATAAAGGAACTTTATAGAAAAGCAACAATTGCCTAAGGGGGGAGCACAAGCAATGCAAGGAGAAGGTGCCAGCAGCACCTTCAGATGGGAGAAAGTTCTGATCTGAAAGCCAGTGGCAACAAGTATCATCTTCCTGTCCTCCAAATGTGCAAGAACTAAAACTCCCAGGATTCCCAGCCAATATGGTCATAGTTGATGACAATGTTGGACATGCTAGGATCTGAGGTTCAACATAGAGAATAGCAGATTGGAGAAGGCTGGTCTAGAGACACCCCTCCACCTGAGAGTTCGGATATTTAGTTAAAATCAGACTAGATAGATCAGCAATTTGGTATTTCTTTCATAAGCATCACTAGTCTCTAATTATTCTGAATCCTCCCCCCATGCCCTTAACATGTGTTCAGAGATCTTCGTCATACCAAATCACCTCATAGATACCTCACATTATTGATTGTCAAGAGGTCTCTAGGCCAGGGGTCTTTAAACTTGGCCACTTTAAGACTTGTGGACTTCAACTCCCAGAATTCCCCAGCCAGCCATGTTGCTGGGACTTTTCTTGTGCAAAAGGCATGCTCCACATTGATGGAGTACATCCTTTGCAGAAGAAAAGTCCCGGCAGTCTCCATATGGGAGAAATGAGAAGATCATGGGGCTGCTGCATAAAATAAGAGGAGCTTTGCCCATATTTTAGGCTAAGGCCTAACTCCTGACAACTTCTTATGGGAAGGCCAGCTTCCAATTAGCACATGTGCATGCACACACACAAATTTGTCCAGACAAATTCCTGTGAAAGAGCCTTTTTAAAGGAATGTCAGAAGAAGGCCGTCTGTCAGTGAGTGGTTCCTATGAGACTGACAAATTGTACCCTTTCCCCGATGTCTTGGACAAAGTACAGCTGTGATGGAAAAGGAACTTGCTAATTAAAGGCACACAAGAATCTTCACAGGAAAGAAGAGTTTACATTTCCAAAAGAAGAGGCAAATTAACACCTTTCTGTGCTGTAATGATCCTAGAGAAGCAGAATTAAGGGTGGTAAGTGGGGAGGGGGAATCACAGTTCTGTTTCTTCTTATTTTTAAGCCTTTTTGATTTTTTCTTTTTTAAAAAAACCTAAATATATCTCACAAAAATCTAAGAAGATTTGGAGTCAGTTAATACGGAATGGGACAACCCGCTGTAGCCAACTCTCCAAGGCCAACTCTCCACAGGACAACTCACTGTGGGACAATTCAACGATTCAATTTAATTATTTAAAATAATTTGAAAAATATTTTAAATTTTGTCATTCACATTTCATTCTGTCCCTCCTTTGGCATCTTTCATTTTAACGATTCTATTCCACTATTTCTTCGATATTAGTGTAACTCTTGTCCCGCGGCGAGTTGTCCCACAGCGAGTTGCCGCGGCGAGTTTTCATAGACCCAGCACATACCCAAATTGGAGACCACGAGAAAATCACTGGACTGGGGTTGGATAAAAAAATTGAAAGAATACGTGCAAAGAATGGGATATTGTTATCACACTGTGGCCAGGAAAATGACAAGAAGACACCAAGAGTCAAGCTGTACACAAGGGAGTTTTTGTTTTGCCTTATGTGCAAGAATCTCAGAAGTGAGACCATTGGGTAAATCATATTGCTACTAATTTTTTGTAAGGCTTTTGTTGGATAGAAACATCAGCAGTAAAATGTCAAGATGAGCATCATACAACATGAGCATCATGCAACATGAGCATCATGCAAATACCATAAGTATCTGCACCCTGATATTTGACTCAAGGATGTCAACTGAAGCATTTGAGTCACTTCATCACACTGATGTTGTCATTTGTCCACTGCAGACATTAAAAGCAGAATCATAGAGGCAATTCTGAACCCTGGGGAGTTTGGAGTGGGGAGGGGATGTGGGGGTTGAAATGACAGAGTATCACTTCATACCCAATTGGTTTGCACTGGTAGGAACTCAAAGGATTAGTTTTACTGGAGATTTATCAAATTCTGTTCCCATTAAATACTCCCCTATCAGATATCGCCTTGGATAGGTAGTGGATATCATCCTGGGATGCACCAGGAGTGAACGACCCTGGGATCCACTGGATCCCATGGAATCTGTAATTGTTTCTAGTGAACCTCTGGTAAAAAGGATGACAAAGTATGTTGTATGAGCATCTTGGGGGTGGCCCACATGAATGCATTTTCCTGGATATCACTAAAGGTGTGTGCAGGTCTCTGCATCCCAATGCTTCCACCTAGCAGTTCAGGAGTGAAGGTTATTTTGCGCATTGCACAACAAACAATGGCATGGGAAAAATAGGAACATTGTACAGATTTGCACTATGCTCCAAACTTTAGCAGTTAACAATCCACCATCTTCTGCTTTTATGGTCATGATTAATCTGGGGGAAAAAGGGAATATGCATCATAAAACATGTGGTAACCCCCGAGTAAACACAAGAGACATTAATTTCTAAAATACTTCTAAAATAAGTTTTCTCTTTTTTTGCCATTTTATACCCATGCATTTGACAAAATGCATACTGTATATATGAAAAACAGTATCTGTATTCTACTGGTATGAGGTGTTTCCAACACACAAAAGCACTTGCTGCATCAGTAAAATGCTGAAGAAAAATTACTGTGATATACGATGCCAGCAAGCTGACTTTTCTGTAATCACTTTATCCAGGTACATGGGTAATCGAAATAGAAAAAAAGATTCAAATGTATTGAAGCTTTAGAAAATTATTGGATCCAAAAAAAACCCTCAATTAAAACAAGATAGACAAATATATATTTACCAAGAAATACAAAGAAAATGTATACAGTTTTGTGCAGTTAAAACCCCTGAAACAGGACATGCAAAAATGGGACAAATTGAACCTAAAACTGCAAGAAAGTAAGAAGGTAAGAAAGGAAGGAAGGAAGGAAGGAAGGAAGGAAGGAAGGAAGGAAGGAAGGAAGGAAGGAAGGAAGGAAGGAAGGAAGGAAGGAAGGACTGAGAGAAATGTACAGATTTGCCCATCCTCACAGTCAAGAGAAAGAAAATGCTGGATAGAGGTCGGCCTAAATAATTTTCTGTGATGTGGGACGATGTAAGTAGGTCATCTACTGCATTCTGAAGTTTTCTAGTGCTATTTGTTTCTTGTTTCTTAGATTCAAATTTCTCCGGACCCTGCTCCAAAGAATTATTTCTTAACTATCCATTACTAGCCATCACTGACCTAGTAAATCCAACTTTCTATTACAACTATTTCTACATGCCTATGGGGCAGGAATTGTGGATTCCCACAAATCCAGAGAATGGAGATAGAAAGAATATATAGTCAGTTTAGCTCCTTCAATAATACATGAGCTGAGGGGAAAAATGGTCACACTTTCTCTGGTGAAAATTTATTCTGCTTATCGTTTCCCATGGCCTTTAAATAACAACAAAATAATAATTCAGAACTGTGCAAAATGTTTTTGACCCTGACAACTGCTACAGAGATTTCACCATGGAACTCAAAACATTGTCTCTCCAAATTATGTCGTCGGAGTATTTTGTGTCAAAAATAAAACAGAGATAAAAAGTGAATCGCTTAAATTAACATGTTACATCCAAAACTAATTTATACATAAGCAACTGTTATGGGTGGAAATTTATGGTGTGTACAGTGGAAAACATGTTTTAATTCTGCACCCCCATGCCATTATTTGGTTGAATTCATTCTTTGGGGATGACCTTACTTTGTTTTATTTTGAACATGATTCACATAATTTGTGGGGTATATTGCATGTCAGTTGTGGGACACCATCCCTCTCCACTTCTGGTTGGTGCCAAGGCTAATTTGCTTTTGGGGGTTTGCTTACAGTTTTGGGCTGAGCTTATGATCGTGGGCTTGTTAACAGTTCCCATGCTTCTGTTCTATGGTTTTCACTTTATAATTAGGGTTGTTTTCCTGGCTTATTTTATTGCACCTGGGTTTGGGGTTTTTTTAAAAATAAAAAGCAGACTAAACATGGCCATAAATAAATACTGCAGCTGGCTATATCATACATGTTTGTTGTATTAATAGGTCTACTTGTGCGTGCATGCAAGATTTGGGGGGAGGGAATCTGATGAAATTCAATAAAGATGTTGTCCTGTGATTAACCTGCATTTTTCAATTAACACCTAGAAGAAAGGCTGCTTAGACAAGCTAGATCTTTCTATTTAGTCTTGTGAGCTGTGAAATAACAAACTTCCAACCCTAATCCCAATCAGATAATTATCTCTCTCTTTTGTTGTAGCAAGTGCCCAGTGCCTGCGAGACACTTAATCCTTGTTAATGTCTAACCTTTGCTGATGCCTAAACTAAGCAACTCTGGGGGTGGAGGGGAAACAAGAGATTGCAGGGCTATAAAGCTTGTTCAACAAAAGCAACTCTCTTGTAAGTCAGATTCTGAAGACCTATGGGAGAAGGACAGGCAGAGCCTATGGGTAGAGTCAAGAGAGGAATCAGCCTGGAGTCATTACGTTCCCACAAACGGTCTAAATCCAACACCTGTGGAATTCCATTAACTGTTATCTAGCATCAATTTAGTGCTGACTGTTACCTGACTAGATTCCTAGGTGTGAGCAATAAATCAGCTTAACTGGACTTAATGTGGGGTCTTAATTCTTCTTACCTGACAAGACTGTCCCCACCACTTGGGGTTCACCACTGCAGATAGAAAGAGGCCCTTGGTGCAGTATGTAATTAATAGGGACAATCACCACCTTGAGTATTTGTAAAAATTATAGAGGTTGGATAAACATAAATTAAAAAAAAATAAAATTTAAACAAACATTCTTTTTGTTTTAGTCCTGGAATCGCTTTTAATAGTGTAAGCCACCTAGAGTTACCCTATGGTAAGATGGGCAGCCAAGAAATTGAATAAATAAAATGAAATAAATAAATAATATCCTCCTGCTTTGGTATCCATCCTACATTTCTAAATTAGCTGGCAATTTGAAACTTTCAGAAAAGAGATGCCAAAACAGCACAGCAAATTGAAAACAATGATATCACCTGATAGATACAGCAATAGAGTTGTTTTCCTTTTTAAAATGAACTGTGTAGCCAGTTTGGTATAGGCTAGAAACCAGAAGATTATGAGTTTCAGACATGCCTTAGGTACAAAGCCAGCTGTATGATTTTGGCCAGTCACTCCCGCTCAGCTCTAGGAAGGAAACATTGCTAAACCAGTTCTGAAAATGTTCTCAAGAAAACTGCCAAGACTTGTCCAGGCAATTTCGAGGAATTAATACTGACTCGGAGGTTCAATCAATCAATCAATTTTCAAACCTTGGGAAGTTTTTACATCTATGCTTCACAAGTTCCAACATCAATGCATAGTGCCTCCTAGTGGTCAGTAGAACTACTTACATTTGTCCCTCAGGGGTGTAGGTGGACCCAGTGATGGTGAACTCGTGCAAGCTGCAGTGACTGTCCTCAATCTTCTCCACAACGAACATCTACAATAACGAAAGAAAGAGAAAGAATGAAGGAGCAATTAAAAGATTGCACTGTTGAAGGGCTATTTACAAGTCACAAGTAGGTTTAAAGCATTTGTACATTGCTTTGTCACTGAAAAAGGAGACAATCTTGACAAAGACTGCAATCATCTGAGCCTGCAATCAGATACAATCACTAGACTACTTGAATGATGTTCAGGTTTGCAGCCCTCATTCCACCTTCTCTGACATAGCACAAGCAGTCCTCGATTAACTGATCATTTAACAATGGCTTAAAGTTACAACGGCCTTGGAAGAAGTGACCTGTACTCACACTTACGACTATTATACTACCCCTGCAGTTCATGTGATCACAACTGGGGCACTTGGTAATTCACTCGCATTTACAATCTGTTATAGTGTCCTGTGGTCACGTGATCATGATCTATGACCTTTTTTTTGCCAATTTCCAGCAAAAAATGACCATTGGGGAACCTGGATTTGCATAATGATTGTATGATTCGCTTAACGACCACAGTAAGAATTGTTCTAAAATTGAGTCCGACTGAACTTATGACTGCAATCACTTATGATGAAAATTTCGGTCTCAACTATAGTTGTAAATTGAGGACTACCTCTAACAAAGATTGTGTTAATATAATCTTACAATAAAGCAGAATTAGTAATCTAATTGATCCACTTGATAAGGCTGATAACAGTCTTGCAAGTTTGAAAGTGCAAATCTCCCTCTAATATCCTTTTTTTTCTTTTTATGATCCTGTAATCCCTTAATTCAGGTTATAGTTGGGGCGATTGGATGGAGCTGAGAGTTTACTGGCTGGATGCCCTTCCTGATGCCTACATGGAGTTTGCAGCAGATATTTTCTCTTTGCGCCATGAGAGAGAAACATCTGTTGCTACCCAGGATTGAAATCTCAATCTTCTGAGTGGGAGGTGAGCATCTTCACCACTAGGCCACCACACCACTCTAATTTCCTTTATACTCTGAGAAATTAGGGTGGGTCTCTTCTTGCCCTGCCCACTATCCAGTTGTAGACTATGCTGTTTCTTAACTTATTGTTCCCTAGGCAGTATCCCTGGGCCCAGTCTTCCCACATACTATTACAGACGTATATGGGGAATTTCAGAAGTCGTTTTCCATTTTGGCACCCCTTAAAATTGGTATTTAGGCAATTGTCTAGATTGCCTAGGTTTAGAACTGGCCCTCTGTGCCCTTTAAAACTCATCTTGCTGTACTAAGAGATGACACCCAAGGGCAGGTTATCAGAGGACAATCAGTGGGTGGGTGGAAATAAAGCCTCAGTCTGCTCCCACATTGCACCAAGGGAGCAAAAAGGGATGATGTCATTGCAACTAAATGCAGTCTGATTCCTGTTCATGTCAAAATTTATTCTGCTTTTATCAGAGTCTTAAGCAATTCTCAGCACATGAGAACTTTCTCTGTTGAGTTCCCACATTTGTCAAATTGTTGAATAACTAGGAAAGAGCTGTTCTTTTTCTCTCTCCCAGCCTCTTCAGATTTAGGGCTTTTACTACTGTACCCACGGTAACAATTTCTGCTGCTGTTTATAGTTTTACAATACAAAATCATCATCTGAAATGCTTACAATCTTCCAATACAACACCTTAAATTCATGAGTTGATGTGCTTCAAACTGTCCCGTGTTGAGATGAAGCATTTCATCTGGAGGTTTTTAAGAAGAGACTGGACAGCCATTTGTCCGAAATGGTATAGGGTTTCCTTCCTGAGCAGGGGGTTGGACTAGATGACCTCCAAGGTCCCTTCCAACTTTACTACTACTACTACTACTACTACTACTACTACTACTACTACTACTATTATTATTATTTGGGGGGAAATGCAAAATCTGACAATTATAGGTAGTCCTCAACTTATAACCACAATTGGGATCTGAATTTCCATTGCTAATCAAGGCAGTTGTTGAGTTGTGCCTGATTTTACAACTTTATTGCCACAGTTAAGCAAATCCCTGGAGTTATTAAATGAATCATGAGGTCATCAAGTGACTTTAAAGAGTTTGCTTCTCAGAAACTGATTGGGAAGGTCACTAATGGAAATCACATGACCCCAGGACATTGCAACTGTTGTAAATACATGCTGGTTGCCACGTGCCCAAAGTTTGATCACATGACCATAGGAATGCTGCAAGGGTCATAAGTGTGAGGATGAATAATAAGTCACTTACTACTCCAAAGCGCCAGAAGGCAGGACAAGAAGCAACAGTTGGAAACTGATCAAAGAGAGAAGCAACTTGGAATTAAGAAGAAAGTTCCTAAAAGCGAGGACAATTAACCAATGGAACAGCTTGCCACTAGAAGTCATGGGTGCTCCATCACTGGAGGTTTTTAAGAAGAGACTGGACAGTCACTTGTCTGAGATGATATAGGTTCTCCTGCTTGAGCAGGGGGCTGGACTAGAAGACCTCCATGGTCCCTTCCAGCCCTATTCTATTCAAACTTTCTGCCTCAGAAAACAGAAACAGAACTGAGATGTGGAAAAGGAAAGGAAATAGCTTTTGGTTACATGTTAGGCTAGCTGGTCATTCCAGGACCTAAAGATCCTTCAGCCACAAGTTTGGACTTCAGTTGATCTGGGCCAGAAGAGAATTAAATGACCCAGCCAGTTAATCAGCTAAAAGCAAGCTTTTAACAACTCTATATTTTTATATAGCACATCTTGCCTATCCTATCCCACAAATTTTGGGGATCCCAGTGGTGATTTGTGTATGGAAAGTGGGCTGTTGCTGTTGCTGAAACCTGGTTAACTTACCAGACAATGAGAAAGCAGTGAAGGGAATATGATGAATGGGGAAAAGTGACGTGGTGCTTAGTTGCTAAAAACAAAAACAGAATGGATATCAAAGCACTACAGATGCCTCTGCCAAAGACTAATTCTAGTTTTCAATGACTTAAACAAATAATCAGGCCAAACTTTCTGTAATTGGATACTTGATTTCCTTATTGATAGGCCCCAGTTTGTGCGAGTTGGAAGGAAAGTTTCCAACTCCATCTCCTTAAGTACAGGTTTCCCACAGGGCTGTGTCCTGAGTTCGCTACTGTTCACTTTGATGACCCACGACTGCTGTGCCAAATCTGCTACGAATCATATTGTGAAGTATGCAGATGACACGGCAGTGGTGGGTCTTATCCGGGATGACAATGAAGATGCTTATAGGGAAGAGGTGAAGGCTCTGGTGGACTGGTGCAACAAAAGTAACCTGGTTCTAAATGCTGATAAAACAAAGGAGATCACTGTAGATTTTAGAAAGATCCGGCATAGTCATACTCCACTCAGTATCAAAGATGCAGCTGTAGAGGTGGACAACAGTATTAAGTATCTGGGGGTGCAGATAACTAACAATCTGAATTGGTCTCTCCACACCTCATCCTTAGTGAAACATGCAAACCAGCATGTATTTCCTGTGTTGGATGAGGAGAGCACATCTCTCTCCTTCTGTCCTGCCACTTTTTACAGAGGCACGATTGAAAGCATTTTAAAAAACTGCATCACTGCCTGCTTTGGTGCCTTAGATAGAAAGTCCATACAGAGAATGGTAAGGACAGCCGAGAAGATCATAGGAAGCTCACTCCCTGGTATTCAGGATGCTGCTTATAAGCGCTATGTGCTTAGAGCTCGAAGCATTGTTAGAGATCCACACACCCACTTTATGGTCTGTTTCTGTTGTTCCCCTCTGAGAGGAGGTTTTGAAGTATTTCTAGCAGGACTACAGCTTTGTTCCCTATGCCATCCATCTGGTAAACTCGCAAGATTCCTTTTTCTCGCCATGCACATATATACATAATCCAAACTAGACTGTGTTGTCTCTCTGTGTCATATAATATATGTGGGTATAGGCATAATTCTGTATTTATTTATTTATTTATTTATTTATTTTTGTCATATTTATGTAGTGTATATCGGAGGTGATGACCCTTTGAGAGCTGTATGCAATGAACTTTCATTTTAATGTATGCTGATTAGTGTACATTCAAAGTGACAATAAAGATTATTCTATTCTATGTCAATGCGTGTGGCTTTTAATGGAGCTACCACAAATGTTCAAATATTGTGTTTTTTTGGGAGCAAATGGCAAGACTGAGGATTTATATGATCTCAGGCAGGTGAGGCTGGGTGGGTACAGCCGGGCATGTCAGTTATAAATAAACGGGAATGTCACAAAAGCATTTCCATAATTTAAAATAAACACAAAGCACTTGGTGAATTTAGAAATTTACATATTTTGTATATTTACTCTGCTCACACAGTAGCATTATTTATAGGCATGTGCTTCTTTCTTTCTTAATGTATCTTAGTCCAACCTATGCCACACAATTTTGGAATAATTGTTTTTTCCAACAGGTGGGATTTCCCACTTCTCTAAACCCATCTCCTTTGCTGACCCAGTAGCCTTCCCTGTATTTTCTTGGCTGTGGTTATTTCTGCACCAGTCTGGGCCTGTTAATGTCAACCCCAGTTCAGGGTCTGGCCTTCCACATATGGAAAAGTGTTTGGTATCCTATAGCAACCAAGCTTGGCATGCTATTTCTTCTGTCAACAAAGCGCAAATGCAAGCGAGGACGACGCTGAAAGTTCACCATGGAGAGATCTGATCACGTTCTCTTGTCTGCGCCCTTTTGCGTATGGTTTCATTCCCATTTTTCTTCAGAATGTAAACAGAGTGGCAGAAATAGCAGACGGCTAATCCCCAAACCGGATAGGAAAATATTTGATTCCAAGAGCCCTTTTAAAAGAGATTTGTAGCCTAGCCATCCACATGCAGCTTTTGTATACATACAAGGGTCCATTTACCTGAAAAGGTCTATGGGTACACGCTGCACTTGCTCCAAAGCTCTACTGGCTAAGGACCAAACTGCCCACTCATCCAGAGATGATTGTTCTCACAACTTTAAAACACCCAGCAGCTGCAGTTTCACTTAAAGTTGCTTTCATTATACCACCAAGGGCTCTCTGAACAAGGA